TGCAGATCGACAGCGTGGACCATTGCTATGGCGCCCAGGTAACCACCTCTGACGCAGGTATGGCCTCCTCCCCTCTTCTTCTTCTTCGACAGCGTGGAGCACGGCTATGGAGCCCAAGTGGTTCTTTTTCTTCTTCTTCTTCTTCTTCTTCTTCTTCTTCCTCTTCTTCTTCTTCTTCTTCATGTTGTTGTTGTTGTTGTTGTTGTTGTTGTTGTTGTTGTTGTTCTTGTGCAGGTCGCAAGTGTGGAGCACGACTATGGCGCCCAGTTAAGTACCGCTGACGCAGGGATGTGTTGTTGTTGTTGTTGTTGTGCAGGTCGCTAGTGTGGAGCACGTCTATCGCGCCAAGTTAAGTACCGCTGACGCAGAAATGGCCTCCGCCGCTCTTCTTCTTCTTCTTCTTCTTCTTCTTCTTGTGGTTGTGGTTGTTGTTGTTGTTGTTGTTGTTGTTGTTGTTCAGGTCGCCAGTGTGGAACACAGCTATGGCGCCCAGTTAAATACCGCGGACGCATGTATGTGTTGTTATTGTTGTTGTTGTACACGTCGCCAGTGTGGATGTACAGGTCGCCAGTGTGGAGCACGGCTATGGCGCCCAGTTAAGTACGACTGACGCAGGTATGGCCTCCGCCCCTCTTCTTCTTCTTCGTCTTCTTCTTCTTCTTCTTCTTCTTCTTCTTCTTCTTCTTCAGGTCGCCAGTGCGGAGCGCGGCTATGGCGCCCAGTTAAGTACCGCTGACGCAGGTATGTGTTGTTGTTGTTATTGTTGTTGTACAGGTCGACAGTGTGGAGGACGGCTACGGCGCCCAGTTAAGTACGGCTGATGCTGGTATGGCCTCCGCCCCTCTTCTTCTTCTTCTTCTTCTTCTTCTTCTTCCCTACTAGGAAGTAATGGAAGAACAAATCCTGCAAAGATGGGAAATAATACAATAATACTTAACCAAGGCAATTGATTCACAATGAAAAATATATCTATTTAAAATAAAGAAAATTCAAGAAAAGAATATACTTAAAAATCTATGATTCATTCAATTTTTTTAAAAATATGTACTTCTTCTTCCTCTTCTTCGTCGTCTTCGTCTTCTTCTTCTGGTGGTTGTTGCTGTGGTTCTTGTTGTTGTTGTCGTTGTTGTTGTTGTTGTTGTTGTTGTTGTTGTTGTTGTTGTTTTTGTTGTTGTTGTTGTGCARGTCGACAGCGTGGAGCACGGCTATGGCGCCCAGGTGGTTGTGGTTCTGGTTGTTGTTGTGGTTGTTGCTGTTGTTGTTGTTGTTGTTGTTGTTGTTGTGCAGGTCGACAGCGTGGACCATGGCTATGGCGCCCAGTTAAGTACCGCTGATGCACGTATGTGTTGTTGTTGGTGTTGTTGTTGTACAGGTCGACAGTGTGGAGCACGGCTATGGCGCCCAGTTAAGTACGGCTAATGCAGGTATGGCCTCTGCCCCTCTTCTTCTTCTTCTTCTTCTTCTTCTTCCTCTTCTTCTTCTTCTTCTTCCCTACTAGGAAGGGCTGGAATAACAAATCCTGCAAAGATGGGAAATAATAGAATACTACTTAACCAAGGCAATTGATTCATAATGAAAAATATATCTTTTTAAAATAAAGAATATTCTTAAAAATCTATGATTCATTCAAATTTTTTTAAAATATGTACTTCTTCTTCTTCTTCTTCTTCTTCTTCTTCTTCTTCTTCTTCTTCTTCTGCTTCTTCGTCTTCGTCTTCTTCGTCTTCTTCTTCTGGTGGTTGTTGTTGTAGTTGTTGTTGTTGTTGTTGTTGTTGTTGTTGCTGTTGTGCAGGTCGACAGCGTGGAGCACGACTATGGCGCCCAGGTGGTTGTGGTTCTGGTTGCTGTTGTGGTTGTTGTTGTTGTTGTTGTTGTTGTTGTTGTTGTGCAGGTTGACAGCGTGGAGCACGACAATGGCGCCCATGTAAGTACCGTTGACGCAGGTATGGCCTCCGCCCCTCTTCTTCTTCTTCGACAGCGTAGAGCACAACTCGCGTCCAGGTGGTTCTTCTTCTTCTTCTTCTTCTTCTTCTTCTTCTTCTTCTTTTTCTTCTTTTCTTCTTCTTCTGCTGGTGGTTGTTGCGGTTGTTGTTGTTGTTGTTGTTGTTTGTGTGCATGTCGACAGCGTGGAGCACGGCTATGGGGTCCACGTGGTTGTGGTTCTGGTTGGTGTTGTGGTGGTTGTTGTTCTTGTTGTTGTTGTTGTTGTTGTTGTTGTTGTTGTTGTTGTTGTTTTTTTTGTTGTGCAGGTCGACAGCGTGGAGCTTGGCTATGGCGCCCAGGTAAGCACCTCTAACGCAAGTATGGCATCCTCCCCTCTTCTTCTTCTTCGACAACGTGGAGCACGGCTATGGCGCCCAAGTGGTTCTTCTTCTACTTCTTCTTCTTCCTCTTCTTCTTCTTCTTCTTCTTCATGTTGTTGTTGTTGTTGTGCAGGTCGCAAGTGTGGAGCACAGCTATGGCGCCCAGTTAAGCACCGCTGACGCAGGGATGTGTTGTTGTTGTTGTTGTTGTGCAGGTCGCCAGTGTGGAGCACGGCTGTGGCGCCCAGTTAAGTACCGCTGACGAAGGTATGGCCTCCGCCACTCTTCTTCTTCTTCTTCTTCTTCTTGTGGTTATGGTTGTTGTTGTTGTTGTTCTTGTTGTTGTTCAGGTCGCCAGTGTGGAACACGGCTATGGCGCCCAGTTAAGTACCGCTGACGGAGGTATGTGTTGTTGTTGTTGTTGTTGTACAGGTCGCCAGTGTGGATGTACAGGTCGCCAGTCTGGAGCACGGCTATGGCGCCCAGTTAAATACCGCTGATGCAGGTATGGCCTCCGCCGCTCTTCTTCTTCTCCGTCTTCTTCTTCTTCTTCTTTTCTTTTTCTTCTTCTTCTTCTTCTTCTTCTTCTTCTTCTTCTTCTTCTTCTTCAGGTCGCCAATGTGGAGCGCGGCTATGGCGCCCAGGTGGTTAAGGTTGTGGTTCTGGTTGTGGTTCTGGTTGTTGTTGTGGTTGTTGCTGTTGTTGTTGTGGTTGTTGTGCAGGTCAACAGCGTGGCGCACGGCGATGGCGCCCACGTAAGTACCGCTGACGCAGGTATGGCCTCCGCCCCTCTTCTTCTTCGACAGCGTGGAGCACGGCTATGGCGCCCAGGTAAGTACCGCTGGCGCAGGTATGGCCTCCGCCCCTCTTCTTCTTCTTCTTCTTCTTTTTCTTCTTCTTCTTCTTCTTTTTCTTCAAGTGGTTGTTGTTGTTGTTGTTGTTGTTGTTGTTGTTGTTGTTGTTGTTGTTGTTCTACAGGTCGCCAGTGTGAAACACGACTATGGGGCCCAGTTAAGTACCGCTGACGCACGGATGTGTTGTTGTTGTTGTTGTTGTTGTGTAGGTGGCCAGTGTGGAGCACGACTATGGCGCCCAGTTAACTACCGCTGACGCAGGTATAGCCTCCGCCCCTCTTCTTCTTCTTATTGTTCTTCTTCTTGTGGTTGTGGTTGTTGTTGTTGTTGTTGTTGTTGTTCAGGTCGCCAGTGTGGAGCACGGCCATGGCGCCCAGTTAAGTACCGCTGACGCAGGTATGTGTTGTTGTTGTTGTTGTT